CCCACCCCCACCCCAACCCCATCCGTCCCCCAAGAAATTCCTGACTTTGCAAGTTTTATTGCGGAATCCGACAGATCTCAGCGAGTGCAGTCGGATGCGGCAATCAGAAAAAAAAAAAAATAAAAAAAAAATTGGGCATTTTTGGGGGGCCTCCGGTTTTTTGCCCGTTCACTCCCCCGGAACCGGTCCGGCCCCGGTTGGACCGGGGCAGGTGATCCGGCCAGTTGCTGGCCTAGTCCTGATTCTATATTTAAAAATAAAAATATATCGAAACACTTTTTCTCTTTATGGTTCTCCTTTCAGCGAGGGAAGAGGTGGAGGTGGCAAGCCGTATCCAACGCACCCAGGGCTTGCGGAAGGCGGGCATTGGGAGAAGAGCATGGACTACAAAGTATAAAAGGAATGACTTGAGGCCGGCCAATGCTTGAAGTGTGGTGACCCCAACCACATTGTCCCCTTTTGCCCTGAATATAGGTACCCAAAAGGGAACAACAAGTAGGAGTTACAGTTGCTCCTGCTAGGCAGACATAGTTAGACAGGTAGAAGCGAGCGCTTTGCAGACACCCTCCTGTCTGAAGACCCCAATGCCAAAGACTAACTTCGGCCCACGCCTAGCTACTAGTTGTCCAGAGGTTGCTCGTGCGAGGATCTCTCTAGGTGGTTCCCTCGCAAGCATCGGTGATGAGATGATCACTCGTCGCCAAGCCTTGAACAAAAATTATGAAAATCAAAGAGACAACTAATAATCACAGATGTATAAATTAGTAGAGAGAAAGTAGCCACGTCAATTGACAGCAGGTCGACGCGTAGTTAAATAAGCCAAAGGGAACTGCAGAAGATACATCTCGAAACGAAGGTTAAGAAGTTGGATGAGTCGTTTCTGAGTAGACTGAACGACAATCGTGAGATGAGAGTTGAAGACTACGTCAAAGGAGAGGTGGTTAATGGGTCCACTAATCTTCCGCATTTACATAGGTCTGAAGTTTTAAACACTCCCTTACCAAAACAAAACAAAACAAAACAGGGGGAAAAGGGGGGGGGGGGGGTCAAGTTTTTCAGCATCTTCACCACATCAAAGTTTTCATAATCTTCAACTTCAGTATACATCCAGACTAAGAAATTTTTGAAATTTGAAGCGGTGAAGGTGCTGAACATTATGAATAACCCCTCCTTAAAGAAAACAAAACAGGGGAAGGGGGGGGGAGGAGGGGGGCCATAATTTTCAGCATCTTCACCACTTCAAAATTTTCAAAATCTTGAAGGTCAAAATTCATTCGGATGCCTCGGGGGGGTGTTCAAAATTTTCAGCATCTTCACCACTTCAATACTTTCAAACTCTTCAGCGTTTATTTGCATTGGGATATAAGAGGGCATTTAGAGAGGGGGCATTCATAATATTCCACATTTTCACCACTT